TCATTATTTAAATTAATAAACTTAAACACAGTAGCTTCACCACTTTTAAGTAATTGATCATGGCCAGAACTAACGAGATCCTCTCTCTTATCATCCACATGTGGAACCTCACAGTTTTCAATCAATGGAGGTTGAAAAACTTCAGCCTGTACTCCAACCTTAGTAGTATCATTGTTGGTACACAGCTCTACGCGTTCTTCTTTATTTAGCACTAGATGATCTGTCTCCATAGAGGGATTATTTCTTGACAAATTGGTTTTAATGTCTTCCTGAATATAGTCTATGTGTGAATCTTGAGAAATGCTGCACTGATTAAATTTTGGGACTAAATTTAGAACTCAAATGACATGTCAATTGATCATTTGAAGCTTTTATTGGGGCTCAAATGGCATGACACCAATCAAAGAAGCCCAAATCAACTGTCATATCATTTATGCTTTAAATTTGGTCTCAAAATTTGGTCAGTCTAATATTACTGGTGAATCTTTCCCTGAATGTTCACATGCCTTAATTACATTAATTGCACCATGCATTCCAGAAGAAAGGTTGATATTTTCTTGCAACACAGGTAATGTTTCCTTATGGGTCGCAACCGTTGTTTCCATATTACCCTCAATTTGCTTCTCCTTTGATTGTGGTTTCCAAATTTTCTTTGCTTGCTGTGCGAAATTTGAATTTTTTTTATTGAAAGGGGAAACTTCTCTATCTAGAATTCTCCATGTGTTGCTATACTTGCTTTCCTTTAGAGCTCTCTGGAATTTCCTTGCTGGCCTCCTCTTCTTTAGAAAATAAATCCTTTCCTTTTGCCTCCTCCGATATCACATGCACCTTCCTTTTTCAACATTCTTCCTCGCCATGGCCTTGCTCTCTGGAAGCTTTGAAGTGCTGCTTGTTTCTCTCACACACAATTCTTTGCCAACGAGACCCTTCATCACCCATGTCTAACCATATGCGAGACGGATTGCAAGCCAATAGATTGACCTCCACGCATACCCTAGCAACCCTAGGACGTGACAAGGATAATGTGGATTGATCATATGCCAAAACCCTCCCTATAGGCTTGGTTAGGACTTCTAAAACATTCTTCCAAAATTATCCAATAAATATTTAATTCATCAAACTAATGCTAAAATAACATGTACTTTACTCCAGTCAACATCAAATTAAAAAAATTGGCATCAAATTAACATCCAATTAACATTTAATTCATCAAATTAATACCAAATTAATATTGATCTCATTCAATTAACATTAAAGTATATCAAATTAATATTCAAATTGATCTAATTGACATTTCCTTAAATTAACATCCAAAATCTTCAAATAAATATTTAATTCAATTCTTTTTGTAGGAATTGTTGAGAGTATCAAGGTTGCCAAATTTGGCTAGTTTGATAAAATTAATATTAATTTGATAAACTTGATGGTCAATTTAGAGTTACTTTGACGAAATTGATTTTTGAATTGATAAAATTAAATGTTAATTTAGTGTAGATTTAATGAATTGAATCTCAAATGGATGAAGTTGAATGTTAAATTTATGGATTTTAATGTTAATTGGATCAACTTGAAGGTTAATTTAGTGTTGATTTAATGACATGGATCCCAATTAGATGAATTGAATGTTAAATTCATGAATGTCCCTATAAATTTGATAAAATTGATGTTCATTTTGGTGTTAATTTAGTGAAATTAAATTTTAATAATTAAAATTGAAGCAAAATTTGGTGTAAATTCGATGAATTAGATCTCAATTGAATAAAATTAAAAATTAAATTCATGAAATTTAATGTTAATTTGGTGGTTAATATGGTGTTAATTTATTTAAATTGAATTTTAAAAAATAAAATTGATGGTGAATTTGGTGTTAATTTGATGAAATTAAATATTTAATTCATGAATTTTTTTATTAATTTGTTGAAATTGAATTTTGAATTGATGAAATTTAATATTTATTCAATGTTAGTTTGATAAAATAAAAATAATTTGATGAATTCGAATGTTACAATCTTTTGGTGTTACCAGCTGTAACGCCCCAAAATCTACCCTGAAAAGTATTACTATTTACAAATCATTCAATCTTTAGAGAAACTAAAAATAATCATTAGAACAACCAATCATTCATCCATCGAATAAAGAATAAATATTAAAGTCAATAAAACATTGCAACTTCTCTAACTTACAATTTAAAACCAAATAATATCTATAAGCGGAATAATTAAAACTAGCTGAAATATTGTTTCATAAAAATCTCGCAAACACAACTTTATTCCCCCTAAAACATGTTCCACATCTTGATTCTCCAACAGCTCATAATCAACGTGTTCATCCATATTGACATCCTCTTCTAAGACAAAATTTGTAAGTGTATTATAGGGAGTGAGCAAAAACTTGTAGGAAATTCCTCTCAAATCCCAACAAAGTTTAAAACAATAAAAAGAATACAAGTATCTTTTGAAAAATAACATATATAATTTTTTGAGTAAAATCGTGAAAGTTATAATGATATCAAGTGTATGAATTACAGTAAATCAATGATAGGAATAACATATGTAAAAAATTAAAGCAATAAATAAATAATTCAGTAGCATTATCCTATGTTCTCAGGAATTTACACAACGATTCTACCTCGTTCATCCACCACAAACCAAACTATCTTAATCATTCCCCCCATGACACATTGTAAACCACTTTAGGAAGGGCGTATACCGTCTCCCACGGTATTGATGAATCATTTCTAGGAAACGTATATCATCTCTCAACCTCAAACTTACGTGAACATATAGTGGTTGCTCTCACAAATAACAATCCACTATAAGTTTTAGGCAATAATCTCACCCCCACTGGGATAGACTAACCTCTAACACTCTTCGGCAGCTCTCAATGGCATATCAAGTCTGTTACACCTAAACTATACAAGAGATGAAACCACAACTTTCTTAATAGCCACAATATTAACTAGTCACAATTTTCATTAATAATTAAAGTATCACAATTAAACAATTCACAATATACTACATTAATAAAGGAATTAAAATGTGCAAGAGATCATATCAAGAAAACATTCACAATTGCAATATCAAATTCTAGGGTTTTGCCAAAAATTATAATTTCCTGGAGTAGGAGCAAGTATTAGATGAAAACATGATTTAATTGAGAACAGGAATTTAGAATTCAAGAATTTATGTATTTTTTACAATCAAACATGTATCTAGCAAAACTAGGGTTTTGGAAACTAAAAACAAGTATGTCTTGAATCCAAACATATATTTTGTTCAAAACTACATTTTAATGGTAAAGAAACCAAGAACTCATAAATATATATCATGTAACTATCAAGAAGAATGAAAACATACATATATAATACTCTAAGTCTTAATGAAAGAACTTGAGAAGAATTCCCTATCTCAATTCGATGTTTGAAAAAAGTCCTAGCGTGTTTGAATCAATCTTAATGCAAGAATCCTTTTGAATCTTGTATTTTCTCATTTTATCTTATTTTCTAGGGTTGTTTAGGGTTGAAAATTGATGAAAAATAGCTAAAAGGACATTCTTATGGTATTTATAGAGTGAAAAACAAAGAAAAACCCTAAAATTGATCATAACCATTTTTTAGAGTAATGTTCGGACGGTGCTTTGGCGTCTAAACAGTAAAAATTCACTATTTTGGATGAAAAATAAGGTTTTAGGGTAGGGAGTACCATTCGAACAGTGCTTGGGGTGTTTGGAAGGGTGCCAACTTTTGGTCCTGATGTTCAAAACAGTTTTCACCTATTTAGAAGTCGATTCAGGAAAGTTCATGAAATACAATTTTGTAGAACCTGAGGTATGTTTTCTCCTCTCCAAAAAACAAATCAATCAGAGTTCGGAATAAAAATTTATGACTGAAAGACTAAGGTAGTGTCAAATTCGTTCCTACCCGAATTCTTTCTAAAATGTGCTTTAACTTTGAAATATTTCTTAACTTCTAATACACCTCATATTACCTCTCCCAAAGTTTCTCAATCTTCCGGATTCAATGGAAGCCTTATTTTGGCTTAAAAATATTTAGAAACTTCTATAACTACCTTTTTCAATCTTAAACACCACCGAGAAATCTATTAACAACAGTTCATGGTTCCTATAATCCTTTTATTCATTATAGGAGAAATATTAATATGATATTATTATAATTTAATTCTAATACGAGATCTTACACTAGCACTATGTAGAATATGAAAAAATTATTATTATTTTTTCTCTAAAAAATATTTGTGATCTATCCCAACACTATTTTTTCTTAATATGTAAAAAATAAAATTTAATTTACTCGAATTAAATTTTAATCGGCACAAATTTTAATAAGTAAAAAAAGATAATTCAATCGACTCGAATCGAATTTTAATCGACGCTACACACTAGCAGCTTATGTTGAGATTTAATCGGCTCAAATTTTAATATATAAAAAAATAAAATTAATAGGCTCTAATTTTAATACGTAAAAAATAAAATTTAATCAGCACAAATTCAATGTTAAATTAATAAGTTTTAATGCTAATTTGATAAAATTGATTGTTTATGAATTTTAATGTTCATTTAATAAAATTCATGATCAATTTAGGGTTAATTTGATTAAATGAATTTTAATGAATAAATTTTATCGTAAATATCACTCACACACCCTGAGCTTGGGATTTTATTACACGGATATCCCCTCACATTTCAAAAATTGTAGTGAGACCCCAATATTTAAACGGGGTTAATTAACGATACTGTAAAAATACTATTTTCCCCCCTATTTAATTGATATTACTACCTTGCTTAAATAAACAAATCTGTATATATATATTCCTATTGCTTGATCAATTCTAGAGAGAGAAGCTCTGCCTTCTCTCTAGAATTTTCTTTTCTTATGCCTTCAACACTTCATCATAACCCTATTCCCTCAAAGCCACCAGATCCATCCATTCCTATTGCTTCTTCATCACATCTACATATCCCTACATCTAATAATCATGTAGCCGCTTTATCGTCATTGGAAGGTGCTAAGATCTTGACCTCTGAGGCGCCTGACCCTTCTTATGCATCTTTCATCCAAAAACAACTTTATGGCTGTGGCATTCTGGATACACAGTCTTCCAAGCCTATTGTAGCAAAGCCAACTAAAAGAGTGATCTCTCACAATGGGGAAATGACAGTGGTTTGGACATGAGAAGAGATGACGGAGGCTTTCAAGCCACTAGAACTTGCTATCATTGGTAAGTGTTCATATGGTTGCCCTTCTTTAAGCTATATTAGAGATTTTATAAAATCTAAATGGTTTCTTAAAGGTGATTTTTCTCTAGGAAGCTTGGATACTAGACATGTACTATTAAAGTTTAGTCTTTATGAAGATCTTATAAAGTTTTTACTGAAGGACAAAGCTTACATTAATGGTCATCTATTTCATTTTTTCAAATGGTTACCAGAATTTGAGTCTAGAATTGAACCAACTATTATGCCCATGTGGGTATTTCTTCCGTCATTGCCATTGCATTTGTTTCCTAGACAGTATTTGGAAATTCTATTGAGTCCCATTGGGAAGGTGTTGGCAGTAGATGATCCAACGCTGAATTTTTCAAGACCAAGTGTAGCAAGAGTGTGTGCATTGTTGAATCTGTTAAAGGAAAACCCAAATCGAGTCAAGCTTAACATGGGTGGATTGAAGGATCGATAGCAAAGGATAGTTTATGAGAAAGAAAAAAAATATTGTAAAGGTTGGTCCAAGCAAGGCCATCTAGAAAGTAAATGTAGGAAGAAGAGGAAGACTGAGGATAGAGTGAAAGGAAAAGGGATGGAACAGGAGAAAGGGAAGGAGCAAATTGTCCTGGAGAATATATAACAAGGCAGAAGGTTAATGAAGTTGTGTTTGGATCAAAAACATGGTGTGGATTGATTAGTAGTTAAAATTAGCATATTAGTATGCTCTTTTAAGACTATTATACTTCGATGGAGTTTAAATGATGGTATTTCAAGCCATAAAGTGTACAAGGGACCAAAAGCAATGAATATCAAGCTTTCATGCAACACTAACATATTCTGGAGCAAAATTGAGAAAGCTTGGACCAAGCCAACCACATTCGAATGCCAACTCATGTTCGAACGTCCACTTGAATTGATTGAAACCCAGATTGCTAAGAGATGGCATGTTGCAGCAAAGCAAGAAGACTCTGAGGTAATTGAGTACCACGTTCGAACATCAACTCACGTTAGTTTGTACAGAAAGATTTTTACACTTTTTACAAAAAATTCAGACCCTTAGCATAGAGTGATCAGTAGTTAAAATTAGCATAATACTATGCTCTTTTAAGACTAATTATACTTTGATGGAGTTTAAATGATGACACATTTCAGGCCATAAATTGTACAAGGGACCAAAAACAATGAATACCAAGCTTTCATGCAACACCAGCATGTTCAATCAGTTTAGACTCTTGCAAGTTTGTGAGTTTAGATGAAATTACCACTGGGTATGACTCATCCTCTCCTAGGAATGCATATTTGAGGTCAGATGGGAGATGTTTCAATTCAGGCTTTGGTGGCTTGACACTTGATGAGAGTGGCTTTATGCCACTTGGTAAAAGTTCCTTGAATTTGGAGGCCTATATATCAACTACATGAGTCAAAAATTCTTCGGATCATCATCTGTTGTCTCAGATGTGATGAATTCTGACAGATAGGATTCAGTGGAATTTTCATAGAATGTGTTATTCAGATGGTCTTGAACCAAAGACTCGATGGAACAAAATTTGGACCCTTGGCTTTCATCCCAACAAAACATAGTTTTCCACAGAGAATAATCTAATATGAGTCTCTCTCTATATCCGTGTAGTTAGAACAACCAGTGACTCCCAATTTCCTCTCTCACAAACCGGTTAAGCATAGTACCAGAATAGCATGGCGTCTCAGAGTAATCCTTACTCAGCCTATTTACAATCCAGTCTAATCGATTGAGTGTGTGATCGAAAATTGGATTAGAACATTGATTCTATCTTTTCTCGTGAAAGACTTTGCCACATTGTTTAAATGCACCAAGCCTTTTGGCACGATGAGTTTAGTAAAAGTGCTTCTACCACAGAGGAATTTTTTTTCCTCTTCTTGGATCTCATTCTTTCTTACCAATCTTGCTTTTCTCATGATCACAGTATGAATATCAGATGGAAAAGTGCGCAAAGCTTCCAAACTAAACCAAAAAAGTTTGAAGACCAGGTGACAAGGCTTGCCATAGATTAATCGATAAGGAGACATGCCCAAAATTATTTTAAATGCAGTGCGATATGATCAGAGTGTATCAGTTAGTCTTGACAACCAATCTTTGTGGTCTGGATTTACCCTTTTTTCAAAATTAATTTGATCTCTCGATTTGCCAATTTAGCCTGTCCACTAGTCTGTGGATGATAAAAGGTTGCAATTTTGTGAAAAATTAAATATTTTTTCATCAAATTTCAAAAAGGGTGATTACAACAATGAGCACCCCAATCACTTATGATTGATTTAGGAACTCCAAACCAGGACAAAATATTTTCTTTTAGAAATTTGATCACCGTTTGGTGATCATTATTCCAGCATGGATTTGCTTCAACCCATTTGGATGCATAGTCTACAGCCACCAGGATGTATAGATAACCAAAGGAAGGGAGGAATAGTCCCATAAAATCAATGCCCCAACAGTCAAAAATTTCAATCACAAGAATCGGGTTTAAGGGCATCATGTTTCTTTTTGATATACTTCCCAACCTTTGGCATCTATCGCAAATTAAACAAAAGGCATGAACATTATTGAAAAGTGTGGGCCAGTAAAATTCACACTGCAAGATTTTTGCAACAATTTTCTTGAGGATAAGTGGCCACCACATGCTTTAGAATGAAAAAATGATATTACCTGTCTACTTTCATGAGTGGGGATGCATCGTTTTATGATCTGATCCTTACAATACTTGAATACATATGGATCCTCCCAAAAGAAGTTACGAACCTCCCGCAGAAATTTCTTTATGTCCATCATTGTCCATCTTGACCCGTTAATATGCAATCATGCTATATACCTGGAAGAGGATTCAAAATCCTCTCGTAAAATGCAGCGACGACTGAACCCTCACATGAAGGAAGTAGTTAGCATTGAGGTACAATTTACCGATATGTTGAGCTTGGAGATAAGGTTGAAAGGTAGAGATCTGTTCATCTGCCGAAAACCTACAAGTAAAATACAAAATTTATGGATGACAATGGAGAAACTCATAATCATGTTATACTTAAGAATGATATCAATCTGGAATGAATTGGTACTAAGAAGTCAACATGCAACATGGAGTGAAGGGACTGGCCATAAGAACAAGGTGATATAGACCTAAGACAGGAAGCAGAAGAGGGGTCCTAAAAAGATAAGGGTACAAAAGACTAGAAAATTAAAAGTGCATAAGAAGATTTATAAGAAGAGAATAGCTAGGAAGGAAAAGCAGAAGTGGATACTCTTTAAGTAATCACTGAGAAAGTCTAGTGGAAATGAGGATAGAGTAGTGTTGGTTAAGCCGTCAAATTTAGTTAACAATGTGCAACTATTATCTCAAGAATTAACAGCCCATCAATTAGACAAAGTAGGGGAGGAGGCTAATCTTTCTCAAATTTTAATGAACTCTGAAGATGTTGATCCTATAGTAGAGGTTACGAATATTCCAATTAAGCAATTTGGGGATTCTTTGTTTCATGATTCTGGAATGATGACATCTAACAAGTCTACGAGAACAGTCTCTTTCAATTTGCTTAATTTGAACAATGAGTATGGTGAGATTTTTTCTAATTCAGATGATGATCCTGATTATGGTATTGAAGATTCTTTGGAAGAAGCTTCCATTGATTATGGTCCATGTTATGATTCTTTGCACAAGCCAAAGTTTGTTACCAAGCAAATGATGGAGGCAGTTCATTAGCGAGTCCATAGTTAAGCAGAGTTTAATCCAGAAAAGTCTAGGGATGAGATTCATCAGACATTGAAATCAAAGGGCATTTTTTCAAAAGATGACTATGTCAAAAAGCCGGTTGCTCATGAAAACACAAAAGGTTTTTATTCTGATGGAGAAGAGGATGTTTTAACGTCTACATTTGCTTATGAATCTTTTATGGCTATGTCCAAAAGATTGCTGAGAAGACTCAATATTGTGGAGGAGAAAAGAAAACAAAAAGAGGAAAGTCTAGCTACTTTGGCATTGGAATTGTATAATGTTCCAGTTAGGGAAGAATGTTCGAGGATGATGACAAGGTCCAAATCCAAATCCATGCTAGCCTTCAAAATTCCAAAGCAGACTAACAGATATGGATTTAGGCACTAATGGAGCTGATCAAGCATTATTCCAGGTAGAAATACTGGGTTCTTCTGAGGACGATTCTTTCCTTGCTCAACAGATTAATTATTCAAAATTTAAGGAGCTGATTCAATTTTGGAATTGCTGCCTTTCTATACTCGAAGTCTGCAAAAGATTCCTTCGGTTTAATACTTCTACAGCTGGACTCATAAATAAGCTAAAAGGAGAGTAATTAAGGGAGGACTTTAAAGGGATTAAAACTTAAGATGGAATGGTGGATATAAGGTATCAGTTCGAGGAACTCTATCTTGGTTATGGGAAGCGATTTTAAAATTGCAACTCTCATATCATTGCTTCATTTTTCATTTTTTATTTTTTTTCATTTTTATTTTTAATAAAATTTGTTATTTTATGTAAAGGGGCTAGGTTTATGTCCTTCCTCATTACCATTAATAAATATTTGTCCAAATTGGGCTCAACTTTTTTTTTCTTTAAAAAAAAGGCGTTCTTGGTATTATAAAAAAATTGATTTGAATGTTAATGTAATTTAATTATAATTTGGTGAAATCCAAAGATAATTTGGTGTTTATTTGGATGAAATTAAATTTTAAATTTTGGAATTTCAATGTTAATTTGATAAAATTGATAGCCATTAAATTCATGAATTTTAATGTTTATTTAATAAAATAGGCAGTCAATTTGGTGCTAATTTTATGAAATTAAAGTTTAATAAATAAAATAAAAGGTGTTTTTTTTATTAATTTGGTGAAAGTAAATTTTGCTATATCCCATTTTTTTAATATATAAAAATTATTATTATTTATTAGAATATATCAAAATTATATTTGGAATATATCAAAATTATTATTATTTT